TAAGCTGTGTGCCTTCAAGTATTCCTTTGTTCTACTTTTAAAGTTAATTCAATAGTTGCTTAAGTCTAATACATTTGATGAGGAATATAAAGAACGTCAAATATGTAAATGGTTATGAATAAAATATGTATTACGTTTTACATTAATAACATTTTTGATTTTTAAATAAAATTTGAAATAGAATTCATTCGAACCTTGTTCGAAACGAGTAACATAAAAACAAGTAATATAAAAAAAAAATTAAGTCAATTCCTACTTAGATCAACAAAGAAAATTTTTATTTTAGCTAGTTTTTATTAAATAGTTATAATTAATATAAATATGTATATGCATATGACAGAATCACAAAATTAAGTGGTAATTAATTTTTATTCATTATCATTAAAGTATCGTATTGTCATCCAAAACAATCGTGCATATAAAATATCAGTTTAACTGAATGCTTTAAAACGTGAAAAAAAAATCTTTTAAAGTTTTGACCCAAGTCGCTGAAAATGAAAACAACGTGGTTGTATCTGTAATTCTTTAAATAATTAGTTTCAGTCAATTAATTTTAATTAATTATAATTAAAATATCGTATTTTTACCCAAAGTAATAGTGTAAAGAAAATTTTAGCTCAAATGAAAGCTTTAAAATGTGAGAAAAAAACTTTTCAAGTTTTGAAACAAGTCGCCAAAAGGATCGTTAAGTCACTAAAAATGATGCCAACGTAGTTGTATTTGTATATCTTTGAATAATTAGTTTTAATCAATTAATTTTTATTAATTATAGTTAAATTATTGTATTGTCATCCAAAATAATCCCGTATATGAAATTTCAGCTCAAATGAGCGCAATAAAATGTATTATATTAACGATTGAAAATTCACCAAGATAAATAAATATATAGAGAGTGTGAGCTAATAGTAGGAATTGAAAAATTATCTTAATTCCTACTTATTGCTTGCTGTTTCTGCTATACCATCTATTGACTTGGTTATTTTGAACGATCCTGATGTTCGGGAAAGCTACTTGAGTACCAGCCTTAGCACTCAGGATGGGACAGTTCCAGTTTCTTTATTGCCACACCCTTCATGAACATAACCTATAACTCTTGTAAATTATTCAAATGAAGTATTTCAAGAATATAAAACTATTTGTTTCACGGATGGGAGTAAACTGAATGGAAGGGTTGGTCTTGTCTGCATTATTTACGAGGAAGGAGTTAAAAAAGTTACTTTCCCACATCGATTGAGAGATGAATGCTCTGTTTTTCAAGCCCAACAACTCTGCATTTATCTTGCCGTAAAAGTGATTCAGAACTCTCTCCTTCTGGGAGGATCTCTCAATTTACTTATCTGCACCGACTCGCTCTCTTCACTTCATTCTTTGCATAATGTAAATTCTACAGAAAAACTCATCGTGGAGGTCCAAACAATGCTGTAGAACCTTGAAGATTGTGGCATACACTTTTCTTATGTTCGGGGCCATAGTGGAAATCTCGGCAATGATAGAGCGGACCAGTTGGCTAAAGAGACAACCTGCCAAGATATGAACCTTTCGATGTCCGTGCCGTTGCCTCACTAGAAGCATTTAACTTGTAAAAGAACTGTGTTTCCACCTGTAACTCCGAATACTTGACCTCACCTAAAGCTTTGGGGACTAAAAATTTTTTTCCGACCATTTATCAACGGCTAAAATGTAAGAAATTTGTTACCGATTTTCAGTTATCCCAGATTCTAACAGGACATGGAAATTTTAAGAGCTATTTATCTCAGCCTTATTTAATTGGTAATGATATTTGTTCTTGTAGTTTGGATGCTGAAACCACAGAGCATGTCTTGTTGTATTGTAACCTATATTTTTGTAAGAGAGAAAATTCTAGGAAATTAGGCCATTTCCGGAGGGATTCGAAACCCCGACCTTTGGACTAGAAGTTCAACGCGCTCTCCATTGCGCTGCAAGGACACAACGAACGACTTTCTTTGTATATATGCTGTTGGACTATTATTTTTGTTTGTTACTATTTATTTATTTATTTAATTTAATTAATGAATTAATATTAGAAATAATGTATTAACGTTAACTACCACCACAAGTTGAAAAAAGTATTTAAACATGAAAGGATGAACAGAAAGTATTTTATTTAGGATTGAAAATTTAAACAAGATATATGTAGAGTGAGAAAAAAAGAGAGTGAACTAATGTAGAAGGTATTGAAAAAAAGCAATATAATTGGCCAATATTTTATAGCTGTAAGAAAAGTGCAGAAAACAACTTATGTACAAATGAAGAATGTGCATACTTGTTATTACTACAAATTATCTATTTCCTTTGTCCTAGTAAAAGAAAAGATACAAATTTTATAGTTTCAACAGCATCAAAATTATCAAAAGACATTTTGGTTGAAAAATGTGATCACTGCACAAACCATGTGACAATTATTAGTCATGAAAAATGAATAGAATTTTCGCGCATATCTTACATTTATATCTGAACTAGAATTTTAATAAGTGTTCTGAAATACTATAAAAGAAAAGACAATTTTGAATAAATATTGAGGCTTTTATTATTGCCAGACACATAGATTTAGAACCATTTTTAATATACACTGCTGTAAGAAATTAAGAGAATTTACAGACTTGATTGATTATCTCTAGAACTACTGGACCTATTTTAATGATATTTGATATGTACATACATTGATATAATAAAAAACAAATGACTATTCAGCAATTGCAATACACCCACATGCGTAACACTAATTGGAGATGGAACGTATGAAACTTCGGTTGCAGAACAAAGAAAATAAATGGGTTAATAGGGGGAATGACCTCCTCTTACAGCTATACATGCCTCGTGGTTTGATATCATACGTAAAATAAAGCAATTTATCAGTTATTGTGGCTATTCTTCCCACTCATTCAGCAACGCTGTTTTCATTTCCTGGATGGTTCTCGGAGGGGGTTACGAGATGTAATTGCGCTCCCCAGAGCGTCATAGGCGTGCTGTATAAGATAGAGGACTGGAGACCTGGATGGTCAATCTAATATGGCGAATATCCCCACTCTCTTGAAATTCATCGGTCAGAAGAGCCCTATGTGGCCTCACGTTATCGTCCATTAAAATGATTCTGGGGCCCGAGGCATCCCTGAAAAGGCAAACTTAGGGCTCGAAGATCTCATTCCTATACCTCACACCCGTCACAGAGCCTCTTTCAAAGACATAAATAGGTGTACGGACATCCAACATGATGCCTGCCCAGACCATTAAACCTCTTTCACCATCATTGTCAATTTCGTGGACATTGGAAGGTAGGTAGTGGGTCCCTGGATCCCTCCATAGGAATATAAAGCGAGAATCGGCGCTTAGGCTGAAACGGGGCTCATTGGTGAAAAGAAAATGGTCTCCATTGATCCATCCTACATACAAGTAACTAGAGAGCTGAGAGAAGCTGTAGCCCCTCTGTTACGCCTCGCTATAATCGACAAAGGACGATCTTCTCTGGACATAGGAGCTCTTGGACGACCTCGACCAGGCTTTCTCTCGATGGATCCAGTATACTGAAACTGTTTCCATAAGTTACGCACGACGCTGGGTGTTTAATTGAACTCTCTACAAATCTGGACATGATATTGCCCTGCTTCCAACCTCTCACAATTCACCACCTCTTTCTACCATCTAAAGGTGGTTACTCATTTTTACTGTTACAATAAGAATTGAACCGATTGCTTGAAAATAACACCAAGAAATTCGCCGAGGTGTGCTGGCGAACGAAATACGTCTTACCTTATACTTGCTTATAAAGCCTGTTTGTCAGCTGGCTCCACCTACACACACGCGTACCCTTACATATTTTAAGATATGTATTTTTATCTAGAAGCAGTGGTTTTTCAGTTCTTTTCATGCATATCGATAAAATATGCAAGTTCTTTAAATTTTTTTTTTCTGTGTCTTTTTTTTTTTTTTTTTTTTTGGCTTGACTTTACTCTCAATATTCTAAGAAAATATAAATTATTAGATATATTCTATAATGCTATAAACCGATTTTTACTTTTGTAGTTTGTATTTAGTAATACGTTACATATTTTTAGTAGTTTGTATTTAATAATACGTTAATGTATTTAGTAGTTTGTATTTAGTAATATAAATTTATTTTTAATCTGAATTTGAAGTTTCCTTCAAATCAATAAAGTTAAAGTTTATATTTTCATCTACACATTGGATATTTTTAAGTATATCTTAACTTTTTTTTTCATACTATCTAGCATGAAACACAAGTATGCTATAAATATAGATCAGTTCCATCACAAATAAAGTATTCATTTATCAAATACTTTTTCAGCTTATAAACTTGATTGTCATTTTAAGTATTTTGATGGAAAATTATTATTCTGTTATGTGCATATAAATGGAAATTGCGTGCAAATTTTATTTTACGAAGCGATGCCTTTAAGAGCAACCCAGCTTGTCAAAAATTTTCGTGATGTTTTTTATTTTCCAAAGGATCTAAATTTGGAATTTTTTTCTCATATCATTGATTTCATGTATGAGTTCCTCAAATATATTCTACTTTAAAAAGTCTATTTTAGTAAATATAAGTTATAATTATTTTTAAAATCTACTAAAATTCAGTGAAATAAATTTTTAAACATCAAAGCATTTTAGTAGGCAGTAAAGTCATTTTTCAAAAATTAATTCCAAAATTTTTAACCCCTTAACTGCTGAGGAAATGTTATGAGATTCACCCCTCCCCCCCACCCCAGTGCCACCGTTTTTCCCTCAAGCGTACGTTGTTAGTAGTTTATTGGGGGGAAAGAAAAGATACTTTTTAAATTGTTTACTTTCTCTATAAAAAGAAATAAAAGGATAAAATAATAAAAGGAAAAAAAAAAAAATCTCTACAGTTAAAATATAAAAACAAAATAAATTATACCTTTTTTATCTGCTCTGTAATACATCCTAATACATGGTTGTACAAATAAACCAGTATCACGTCTAGTGCATTCGTACAAAAAAATAAAACGCTCCTATTGTACACGGTAAGCGAAAATGACAGCAAATGAAGAATAGAAAAGAGCACATTCAAAGGAAAAAACAAGGAAAACTGCTTAGCCATGAAATGCATCGTTCAGTATATCCTTTCAAATTTTTTTTCCCCATCACTTCTCCGAAATAAGTTAATTCTTAAGTAATGGCCATGGTATTGTATTTCAAAGCCGTATGACTAGTTTTAAATAGAGCAGCACAATACAAAAAGTCCTCCTTTGGCAGGACGAGTATAGACATTCACAGAACTAAAGGTTTCGGCTCTGCAGGGCGTGTATATGTCGCAGGAAGATGATGAAATTCGGGATTTCATCAAATCTCTAAGGGCGATGGTTACACAAGATGTTAAAATAACGTCTATTTGAGGACGTTTTCCTGATGTAAGAAAGTGATTTGATGAAATCCCCGAACTGTTTTAGTGAAATGATGAAATGAACAAGTCAGCATGTGGAGAGCACTGTTTTCGCTTGTTACCTCTCACTTTAACCACCTCTTTCTCCTCGTCCATACCAGGCAGCTCCGGGATTTTGACGCGACGTGCCAAAACAAAATGACCTAAATATCATTTTTTAGTTTTATTGGGTTATATTCCTTGCATTATTATCTTTCGAATGATATATCACTTTTGTATGCCTGGAAATTAGAAACTGGATAAAACTTAAATTGAAAATTGTAAACAATCAAATTAGGGAACTCGATGGCGCCCTCTTTATAGATAAAAAAGCTTTTTTTTTGTTAATAAGAAAAGCTATTTTAAAAAGAGAAACAATAACTGAAAAATATGTGTTGCAAATAGAGTAGGATATTTATGAAGTACTACATTAATGTACAATTAAAAAATAATAATAAAAGTTCGAAATTCTATTGCAAATATCAGTACTGCAAAAATTGAAATTTTGAAAATAGTATACTGTTTGAATTAATTAAGACAAATGGCAATATATATATATATATATTTATCATTAATCAGCTTTTAATCATTACATACCTTAAGTAGACAGAAAAATTTCTATATTAGTAAGAAGTATGTCCTCCTGTAGCAGAAATGATCTCTTCAACTCGTTTTGGTATTGACTTCACTTGTGCTACGCATATGTTCTTAACATCGTCATCATGGAACCACACTTGTATAGCATATTTTATCATTTGTTCTGCTATCATGCAACTCATTTTAGTTGATAGATACTTGAAAATATATTATAAATTCCCAATAGGATTTAGGTCTGGTAAACTACCAGGCCAATCAAGCACTTTTATTTTATCTTCCCGCATAAAAGTCTGGACCAATATCGAATTGAGACAAAAGCCAAATCACGTTAAAAAGTTCCGTCATGTGTTTCCATGCATGGAAAAATTCTACTACGTATATTTATATGTATTTGATGTAATTCATCATGTCTTTAAAAGGAACTAATCTCCCAGTGCCTTTTGTTATGAAAAAAAAAACCCAGAATATCTGCTTTGAAAGATATTTTGTATTCTGTGGGATATGATCTGCAAGCAAGTTTCAACTTCACTTCATCTACCTACACTTGATTTGTATCCCTGCACAAATAAATGTGTCTCATCACAGAAAACTACCTTCTTCCAGTCATCAACAGCCCGGGATTGGTGTTTTTTGCACGTGTTAAACGTTTTTTCATAGCTTTCTGAGTTACAAATTGTTTTTACTTCGGTCATGATATCTTACGGCTGACTTCCGTTACAATTTTCAGTACAGTTGAGGTACTTATTTCAACACCATAATCCAATAAATCCCTTCGGAGGTCTGTAATTGTCTTCTTTGATTTATTTTGCTATCTTTTATAAGAATTGTATCAGTTCTTGGAGTAATTTTCCGTTTGAGCCCATATTTTCCTTTTGTTTTTGTGGACGATCATCAAAAAACTTGAAATGGTCTTAAAATTTTTGAA